TCACCTCTAATTTGGAGACAATGTTTATCCTTGTGTAAGGATTAGAGATAACTTACCACGTGCTAAGCCTATCGCAAACATTAATATAAAAGGAGTCACTATAACTGACCTCATGCTTAACAGAATATAGCTCTGAAAGTGAGCTGTGGAGATAAAAATACTGAGACCTGCAGAGATGTGCGCAAACCCGCTAGTTAGAAACAGAGCCAAGCCCAGATGCCCTGTCTCCTGGGCTCAGCTTCGTTCACAACACATCATCTCCAGGATGTTGCTTGAGTCAGTGCAGGGGGAGATTATTCCCATGGTAACTACAGCCCATCTGAGAAAACAGAGAGAATTTCCATTTCTGGGTGGTGACGTAGTGAAACCTGATATAGAGGAAGAACAGGCTTTGGACTCAGACCCATCTGAATTCACTTGCCAACTCCCCCACCTAACAATCACGTCATCTTTCTGAGTCTTATTTTTCTTACCTGTAAAATGGGAATGGCCTAAACTCTGTATGACAGCTGTGAGGATTAAACGGGTTAACTTGTAAAAACCCTAGCACTCTCCTAGACTTTATTCACTGATGATGCTAACACCTGGCTAAAAATCTCCATACACTTCCTCACTCCAAATTCTCTCATCAGAGGTCAGTAATGCATCCATTCACATAAGGGCACTGACTCTGGGGATGTACTGCAGTTTGACTGCCCCAGTTTGAATCCTGACTCCACCACTCACAAGCGTGGGTGATCTGGGGAAAGGCCTCTCTAGGTCTCACTTTCCTCATCTGTGACATAAAGGATCATCATACATACCTCATTGGGAGTTGTGATGATTGAACCACAAAACACACACAAGGTACTTAGAACAGTACTGCCAACAGAAAGTGTTAGCATCATTGTCATGCATCCAGAGAGACTCGGTGATCAGGTGGCCTTCTCATTCATTGATCTTTCGTTCTACTTAGTCATTCCCTGGGTCGTGTTATCTACTGCTTAAAACTGTACCAGCCCTAGGATTTCTAATTCATCATCCCACTCCCTGACCACAACTTTCTAATTTCTCCTGAAGTGTGATCCATGGGCCAGAGGGGCTGGCATCACTTAGGAGCTTGTTTGAAATGCAGAATCTGAGACCCCACTCCCAGACTGACTGCATCAGCATCTGCAGTTTAATAAGATCCCCAACATGACTTATATACACATTATAGTTGGCGAAGCACTTGGATCTTTTTCTCTCCTCAGCTGCGCTCACCTGACACTCCCGGGTCACTGACCATTGTACATCCTCCCAGGCTATCTTCATCCCACTAAAACCCCACTGAAATCATTCCTCCCCTCTTAATACCTTCAGCCTGTGTGCTCCTTGTCCTTTCATTACGTCCACAAAGAAAAACCTCAGCCCTGGATGAACTGCCCCACCCAGCACCTGCCTATTCCAGGCTTGCAGTGGCGGCTGCCAAGCGCAGCTGGAGAATGGATCTAACCCACAAGCTGATTCTGCTCCCTTCATCTGGGAAGATGACCTCGCTCCTACTCCCCCGGAGTACATAAAATCAGAATGGTATCCCTCCCCAACCCTCCACACCCACCTGCCCCTGCGGCTACACCTGTCCTCTCTTCCTCTTCTCCCTCTGATGTGCTGGAGGTGAAATGCCCATCCCCTCACCTGGGCTCAGGGTTATATCCCGCCCACCTATGCAGGAACTTTAAGTGACTGACTCTGCCTTCTCCCTTCCATATCTAAATGTCCAAATATAGAGGTACCAAGATCTCTGTCTCCTGGATTCTTACACCCCTCTTGTAGCTCCATCTAACTCCCTCCTTCCTCTGAGCCCAACTTCTCAAAAAAGGATCTGCAACAGATGTCTTCATTTTTCTGCCTCATATTCACTCTACTGTTCACTATTCTGCCCCCACAACTCTGCCAAGGTCCCAATCACCTCTTTGTTGCTAAGTCCAGCAGATAGTTTTCAGCATTTCCTAACTAGATTTCTCCTTAGCACTAGGCACAGCTGAATTAGATCTAGCTGAACTAGATCTCTCCTTCTCATTGACACAGCCTTCCATGCTGGGAATTCTCTTCCTCGGGTTTTCCAATCCTCCCCGATCCCATCCATTTCCCATTCCCTGTTATCTTCCATTCTCTCCCATGACTTCAATGGATCCCAGATGACTCCTAGGTTTATGTGCAGCCCAGACCTCTCTTGGATCATCAGATCTATTGACCTAACTCCACTTGAATGTCTCTTCCTAAAACTCAGCATGTGATCTTTCTTTCAGAATCTGCTCCTCCTCCTAGAGTTTGAGCTAGGTAATGAGCACCGCTATCTATCCAGTTTCTCTCGCCAGAAATCTACGGATTGTCAATTCCACTCCCTCTCTCAGTCATTCGCCAAGTTCAATGTAATCTAAATAGTTCTTAAAACCATTCATGTCTCTCCAACTCCACTGCAAAGACTCTATTCCAAGCCACCATCATCTTGTTCCCATATCATTTGCAATAGCCTCCTAACAGAACCACTCTTGCCTCACCAAGCAACTGCCTATGTAGGATGATATTGATGTGATCTTCAAAAAACCCATATGTTATCTAATCGCTTCTCTGCTTAAGCTCTTCAGTGGCTCCACAGGACTATACTGGAGCCTGCCTCATTTCACTCCCTCTCCTCCCCATTCCCCAACCCCTCCAGGTCTAGCCATGCTGGCCTCCTGTTGGTCCTCCCCAGGGGTGGGCTCCTGCCCCACCCTCTGCTTCGACTGCTCTCCCCTCCCCTCCTTTCTTTACCTTCCCCTGGTTCACACCCACTGACCCTTCAGATCCCAAATAAAGAACTTCCTGAAGAAGGTCAGACTAGAGCAGATCTCCTGGTTGTATTTTCCCACAATACTTGCATATTTCCTTAGTAATACCTATCACAATTTTAATGATGGGTGGAAATACATATTTAGCTCCACCAGCCCCACCAGACTGTCAGGTGTCTGGGAGCAGGGACCAAATCTGTCCTAGTCAAAGTTCCCTGCTCTCCCTCACCTCCTTTCCAATTGTGAAAACTCGAGTTCAGTCTGAATCCAATTATAAAAATTCAGTGCTGTCTGTTTATTCCTGACGCCTACCACATAATTGACGCATCCTTCCTATTTAATAGTCATATCCTATCAGGGAAGTACCTGAACATTTGTTGTTTGCAGCTCACCTTGACCCAGTTCAAACAGATCTACTAGCTAATCCCCAACTCACCTACCAAAACAAAGAGAAATAAAACAAGAAAAAGATAGCCCTTCCAGAGGAAAGGTGTAGAAATGCCAAACACTGACATCCCTGCTTTTTGCCTACTGTGTTCACAGTACTTGACTCACCAATTCAGCACAGAAAGGCTAGTCTCCTGCAGCTCCCACCGGCGGGGAATGTCATTTCTAGCAACGGATGCAAGGGAAGCAAAATTCACTCTGTGAAATGATTTCAGACATCCCATGGCTTTCTAGACCTTGATTTTTTCCCCCCAATTGTGCCAGCAGAGTTAAATCCACAAAGCTACACAATTCACCGAGGGTGGGTCAGGGTAATGATGGAAGAGACTTCATGCAAAACATAGGGAAAAAATCATGTTATTTTAGTGACAATTAATAGACCATTTAATCAGAAGGAAATGTATCTTTAACAACCAGAGCACAGTGAAAGTAAGTTCCAGAGAGGAAGCCTATTTTTTCAAAATAGACCGTATTTTTCTTTCTTGAAGCTTCAGATAAATGCGATTTGCTATTTGGAGAAGTGTTTTGCTCAGGGAACATAAAAACATCACTCATCTACTCAGAGAACCCCACCTAAGCACTGTCCCCAGAGGCTCAAAGTTTCAAGATAAAGTGAAACAGGGGCAGAGCTTTCGAAGCCAAACCCAGCCTTTGCACATGGGAGGAAGTCAAAAAGCTGACACCCTCTAGACACAAACACTGCTTCTGCTCCGCCCTTTAATGTAGAAATTAGCAACTGGCTCTCTCCGTGGTGGTGCCTCCTCCCTGCCTCAGTGGGAACCAGCAAACTGTAAGTGATCCCCCTCTTTTTTTTTTTTTTGCTCCCAATCACTCCCAAGCTTTCCCCTCTTCCCAGCTACGCCAGAAACAGGCGGGGTACCTCAGTCTGGCATCAACCACTTCTTAGCACGGGACAGGAACTCTCTGCCTATTTCCATATTTCTATTTCTGTAGCTCATCGCCTCTCCTTCCAAGGCGGCCACCTGTGGTTGGCCCCTTCACCCACAGACCCCGCTCCCTCATGACAAACACACATACCTGTGCAGCCCAGCTGCAAAACCAGCAGGATCCCTCTTCTGACTTCTTTGAGTGGCAGGAGAGCGAAGGACTGGGTGGTCTACAGAAGGATCAGCCAAGACTGGAGCCCCAAGTTCTTTTTCTTTTGGAAGTTGTTTGTCCACATTACAACCCCAGGAGCCCTGGCTCAAACTCTCCTCTACGTGGTCCCTCAAGAGTGGGAAGGAGAGGAGTGGGGGCCCCTTGCAGAGCCAGCGGAAAGCAGAGGCTGAAGCCAGAGTAACCTTAAAGAGGAATGGGTGTGGAGGAAGGGTTATACCAGAAAACGTGTCTTTGTGTTTCTCCACCTTGTGCTAAAAGGAATTCCGTTAGATTAGCACTCTGGTTCCCAAATCGTGTAATTCTCTTTTCAGTGAACTCATCCTGTGCTCTTCTTTTGTATGATTCATCATAATTGTCCTTAAATATTTGAGTTATTCATTTATTTATTAAGCAAGTATTGAATGTGCTCCTTGGGCTAGACACTAAGGATAAAAAGATATAAAGCCGTGCCTTCAAGCAGCTTCTCTTCTACTGGGAGGAGAGAGACTATATACAAATAAATAAGTAAGAATGAGGTGTGCCAGATGGTGATAAATATTACGGAGAAAAACATCGCAGGGAAAGAAAACAGTGATTGCTGCGTGGGGGTGGGGAGGGGAGGGGGGTAGGTGACATTTTCAGTCTGGTGAGACCTCATTATGAAGTCATGTTGAAAAAGGTCCAAAAGAAGTGAAAGAATGAGCCGTCCCATTCTCATCTTAGACAAGAGTGGTCCAGGCAGAGGAAACAGCAAAGGCAAACAGCATATTTCGGAGATGAGAATATGCCTGAGGTAACTGAAGGATAAAGAGGAGCTCACGTGACTTGGGGAGAGCAGGCGTGGGTGGGGTCAGTGGGGGCTGTGAGATCTGCCACCCAGGGATTTTGAGCACAGGAGTGATGTGACCTGACATTTAAAATGATCTCTCTGACTGTCATGTTGAGAACAGACTGGAAGGTGGGTGAGAGGGCAAGGGGGTTAAAACAGGGAACCCAGCCGGGAGGCAAAACTGCAGTAATCTGCGAGAAAGATGATGACGGCTGGGACCAGAGAGGTCAGAGGGAGCAGTCAGATGTGACCAGATTCAGGATACACTTTGATGATGGAGCACAAATGGACTTGTGGCTGGAGTGAATTTGGATTACAAGAGATTAATTACTTTGCTAAAGGTAACAGTTTGGCTTGTACCCATGAAATAATTACATAACAATTCAAGACAGTACATGATACAGTGACCACTGGATTGGTCCAAACACCTTTGGCTTCCTTTAATAATGTCCCATGTACATTTAAAATATAATAATACAAAGCCAGAGATTTTATTTGAATTCTAGAAAAGCAACTATGGGGAAGAAGGGAAAGGGAATTTTCCTGTGCCTTTTTTCAGTTCCTCTAGAGCAGTACTGTGTCATAGAACCTTCTGGAAATGTTCTGTATCTGGACTTACCATACAGTAGCCACCAGCCACATGTGGTTACTGAGCATTTAAAATGTGACTAATGTGACTGAGTACCTAAATTTTAACTTTATTTAATTTGAATTAATTTTTTAATTCAAATAGCTATTTCTGGCTAATAGCCACTATACTGAACCATACAGATCACCACACAGCAAAACCATTCCTGAACTATACGTTATACTTTTTCTTATTGAAATTGAGTTAAAAGGATATATATAAAATATATCTGTAAAAGTATACATTCTCATTTTTTTATTACACCCTTCAGTTACCATCGAATTCTCTTATTTGAAAAGAAGCAGTAGATGGCTTGGTTTTAATCATTTTGAAACACACTTTCTTAGTTTTTGCAGGCAACTCTAACATCTTCTCAGCCATCAGTCTACCAATGACATTCAAAATGTGATTTCCCTCCCTGATGAGTATTAAATGCTAACATTTTAAATGTCACATAAAAATAAAGATAGAAGATTCTTATTATAATTGAACTACCCTCCTGCTCTAAATTCAAAGTACTTTATGATATCAGTTATCTCATTTTTCTTCCCCAAATGAATAAAAAGGGCTGATATTAGTATCACCATTTTTCAGTTGGGAAAATCAAGGCAGAGGGAGATTAAAGGCAGCCCATTGTAGAATGTAAGTCTATAGTTTTATTGGAAAGGAGCAGAAATTAGGAAGATATAAAAAGGGAAGTCAGTTGAAAAAAAAAAAACTACATGTAGATTCTTGGTTGCCAAATTCAAATGAGCTGAGAACGGGTCTAGAAAATGCTGTCGGGATGAACAGGGTAGGTGTCAGTGTCCCCCCTTTGGGCCCTGAGTCTTAGACCTTCCATGTGCCTCAGCGGTGCACCTAAGACAAGATGCTGGCTCCACAACTGCGCGGTGAGGGGGATGCAGCGGTCAGGTGGGGGCGCGATGAGGGAGGTGGCCTCGGTATAATGATGCTGGCTTACTCATGAGCGAACCAGATTTCAAATGACAGGGCAACATTCTTGAACAATCTCCTAACCCGACAGCTGGAGAATGAGCTTTCATTAATCTGGCTTTTGAAACACTCAGGCTAACCCCAGTTATATCACAAAATTGTATGACCCAAGAGATTAACAGGGCAATTCAATCAGTTTAGAGCTGACCTTAGAAGTTGTCAGTTCAATTCCTTCATTTTGAGAATGAGGATACTAAATCCCAGGAATACTGTCATCCTTGCAAAAGAACATAATTTTATTCATTTTGCAAGCAAGCCTGAGTTCCTATGTTACAGGTAACTGATATGGTCCTATGTCTCCCATAAATAGTTAAAAGAAGTCGACCACCCTTACTTTTTAACTCCAGTGTGTTTCTAGAAACTATAGGATTAGAGAATAATCAATGTTATATATTATATACATTTTATATATTATATATGACACTATATATAACATGCATATAATGTATATAATACATTATATAATGTAATGTCATATATATTATATATATGATTATATATGCAACATAATATACTGTATTATATATGTAATATATATAACATAATTTCCCCCCATAGGAAGGATATTAAAATTGGTGACTGCATCCCTGAATAACATTCTTAAGTCTGAACTGAGTCATAATAATGTTATAAAAACAAAGATATAAGAAATCATTAAAATAATTCAAAATTGTTCGAGTATGTGTTAGTTCCTACTGAATAAGCATAAATGTACAAATACATTAGAAATGGGGCCAAAAGTACTATTCAGTATCTAGAAAATGCATAAAATTAGAACTATGTATATCACAAATCTTAGACTTTATGCTTCTTGGCATTTAGAAGGGGCTGCTAAGGATGGCTTGGTTAGCCTGGTCCTTTAGAATGCAGTCTGGGCAAGTCTGGACTGATGCTTTTTTTCAGTGAGCAGAGACATTCCAAAGTCCCAGCCTCTTCCACCACCTTAGTGATAATACAACATGCTATATATAGGCAGGGGCTTTATACACGTTTCCAGATGACAATGAAGATGCGGGTGGTGATGGCATTTTAAATGCTCAAGAGGAGTAAGGCCAGTCCTGCTTACTACAGGTTGCCTGCCCAGAAGGCTGCCAGCTGTGTTGGCATCACTTTGCTTATTACTCTGATAGCCACTGTTAGAGAAAAACACACTTCCTTCATAAGTGATTGGTTTTAATTCCCCAGATTTAAGTTTGTAAAGGAGCTTCAAGATATGAGTCCAAAAAATTCCCCATTTCAATCTTGGGGGAAAAATTGGCCGATACCATTAAGTACAGCCAGGGGCAGGGACATAATCTATGTAAAGCATTTAAGAATAAAGGGGGTGAGTCAAAATTCCATCATTATACTTAAAATGTCTTTTTGATTCCCTGAGAAACCCTTCATGGCAGGAAGACTGATTCCAATTCTTCCAAAGACACGCAGGAAGGAAAAGCTTCCAAGAAGATGCATGTTGGTCTAACACAGAGAGAACCTAAAGCCATCAGACAGGGCACAGGGAGAGCCAGCGACGAGGGACTTCAGCTTACAGGCTTGAGGTCTTTTCGCAGGAAGTGCTAAAGTGAGTTCACTGTAGACTGTGCTAAATTAACATGATTTACATGTAGACTTTAAAGTGAAGAACTAAAGACAGGGAGAAACAGAAGATAAAAACAGAAATGGAAGTCACACAGACATACCACATGAGTTCTGCACGTCAGACCATTCCTACAAACATAATTCTGTAGGAATTATGATGTGACATGTTTCTCAAGTCGGATGTACCTGAGCCAGCTCTACTGCTTACTGGCCGTGTCTTGGGCAAATTATCTAATCTCCCTACACCTCACATCCTCAACTGTAAACAGATACAATGCAGTATCCACTTCCCATGCAAGTTGGGAAGAGCAAATGGGATGATGTGCTAAAAGCTTCTCAGCACAGAGCCTAGCCAACAGTAACAATTCAGTAAATAGTAGCTGTCTCATGAGAATAACAACAGTAATCACGGTCCAAAAAGTAATAATAGCTCTCTGAAAGCCCACGCTAAGCAATTTTTTAATTCCCTAACAGACCAATAAAGCAACTGAAATTGGAAATAAAATGTCTTCCAGGCATAATTTGGTTTACGCGTTCTCTAACGATCACATGAAGGAACAGGTTCCATCCAAACCACCCCTACACATTCACTGGTGTTATTTTCAAAGCTAGTAAATTAACAGAATTTTTGTTTTCCACTCATGAGAAGTCAGCCTGGTATATC